TATATATATATATATATAATTTTTTTTCTGTTAAGAAAATGCCTGTTATGAAACTGTGAATGTCTGAAGATCAAATATAAGAAAATATACAATTTTTGTTGTTATACTGTTGGACACAAATTATAACATTTACAGAGGACTACAGGCATGTTAGTATGCTCATGTATTCTTTCTGATAGTAAAAATCTGTTATGATCTACAAATCCTTATCTTCAGGAATGTTGCTGACACCTGAACTAGTTGAAATTTATCTTTCACAAAAATCTCGACAGTAAAATAAAAAACGTAGTGTCTCAACAGAAATATAATTACTGGGAAGTTTCAAGGTGACTAGTGGCTCTTTTGATACTCAATGCAGGTAGAGGGCTTAAGCAAATATGATCATTTTACTATTTGTTTTCAGAAGTCTTCTGTGATCTTCATATTATCTTTAAAATGCATCAATATAATGGTTAATCTACTTTCAACAGGTTTTACTGAAAATAAGTAGTGCATAAAGAAAATATATCTCCTGAAAGTACTGGACAACTTCTATAATTAATCTAAGTAGGTTAGTTGAAGCCATGCAAAGTGAGTTTAAAACAATGAAATTTTAAGTAACCTAAGCATTTCTTAACTAAACTCTAGGTTAAATATCAGAGCATCTATTTCAATCCTTTGCAGTTATTTACATTTAAATATTCTATTAATAAATTATTAAATACATGAAGTGCTAAGGCTTGGACAACTGGCCCAAGCCAGAGTTGACCTATAGATGAATCCCATATATTTTATAACTGATAACCATTGTGCTGGTAGGTATTGTACTAAGTTATAATAAACCACCTATTCTGATGTAAAAAATGCTAAAGCATTGAAATACTGAAGCCCGAACAACAGACCCCAAGCTGAAGCTGCTAACTTAGTCTGTAATCATTAACAAAGTATGTAAACTTGCTAGTGAAAGATGCAGTTTAGACAAAATGTAATCAGGAGGGAGGAGAGAATGTATCCAACTTGCCTTGTTTAGCCTTGTTCAAGGCTGAGAACTCACACATTTGGCCTTGTTAGAAACTCCCTTGGTTTTCCGCCCCCAGCCCTGGCCAGGCTTTGGGTGGAATCCAACAGGAGAATGAAACCAGAAATTTTCCTCTCAAAACAAAGGTGCCAGCTCTTCTGGCTTGCTGATTTTGGGGTATATAAGGCTGGACCCGCTCACAGCGACTTTGGAAGCCTCACCTACAGGTGGACGCACTGTGTGGGATTTCCCACTGGCTGGGACAGGCTCCCCAAACCCTCGCTGTAACCGGGGCTGCCCAGTGACTGCGGGTCTGGGTGATGGTAACGGATGCAAGTGGTGATGGATCTTTCTTAATCTCAGTTCTTTCTCTCGTGTAGTAATGATTTGATGAATTACCGTTTTTTCCTGTTCGTTGCTTTTAGTGAACTATTCTGCTTTTTCTTACTGCATGTTTTCTATATTACACTGTTACATTGGTTATCCCCAGTAAAATATACCTACTCTTTTCGCTCTGGTGTCTGAGTTTAATTGGTATCCTTAGTCAGCAAAACAATACATTATTTAGCCAGTTTTGTCCCTCTATTTCATTTGGGCAGCGGGTACAAAATGTGATGGATTTATGAGTTTGAAATACACCTTAAAGTGGTTAATGATGTATAGTCATTAAAATCTCATTTTATTTTCTATGATCAACCTAGGATTCCTTGCTGTAACCTTCTTAAAATCAATGGATAATTCTCCTGTGCATTAGGATTTGAGTATCACTCTTTTATGTATTTTCTGCAATAATTAATGATGTGCCATCTGACACCAGGGCAGAATTACATTGTTACAGCTAATGAACTTTGTACTTTAGGAAGGAAACACTGTGTGTCCTAGAATTTAAAAAAAAAATAAAAAAAATCCCAAATCTTGGAAATAATGTTTTCAAATATTATTAAAAGTGTGAAATATCTATGAAATCCACAATTTACAGAAATGTTACTTGGACATAACAGTATGTCTTTTCATTATTTAAACTGCAGCAGGGCATGTGTTTTATAAAAGAAGAAAACAGAAAATTCCTTCCACTAATTTTCTTACACAAATCTATTATTGTTTTGTGACAGAACTGAACCATTAGAAACACTCTAAGTTCATTATATTGTAGTGATTGTGCTGCAAAAAACCTGTAGTGTTTTCAGTAACTGTAATAGATCTTACATGCTTAAATAAAAAGTGTCAACACTGACTGCAGAATTCTTCAGGACCTGTGGGAGAAAGCTAGAGGAGAGTCTAAATGGCATTTCCAGAGATCCTTGAGAGTCCATAAGAGAAGGGATATGTCAGGAAATGGAGAAGGTGAATCACTGGCTGTGTAACTGATGAACCTTTTAATTTTGTAAGTCATTAGTGAGTAGAACTGTACATGTATATCCTAGATAGAATGCATGCTCTTCTCTTTAAAGCTTCACTGGAACTGGAACAGTCAAAAGACATTCAACAGTGTAAGAGCAGAAGACTGAGCAGACATGTAGAAAACACAATTAGCATGTTTAAGAAATTGAAGAGAGGACAGTTAAGTGACTATTTGAGTGCTAGGAACCTGGACAACTAGCAAAACAAAAAGGAAAATTTCCATTTGTTGAAAGAAATTTGGTGTATTTTTATTATTGACTAAATTTACAGTTTGCATAACTGGAACAGTACATTCTGAGGTTATCACCTCCCTAACATGTGACGAGTTCACACATATGGGCTCTTCAGAAATTAATTGCCGATTTCAACCTGTATGTTTGAAGTGGCATATCTCAGCTCAGAATAACATTTATTAATCAAAATAAAAACCATTAGAATCAACACATTTTTGCCAACGTGAAACAAGTATATTTATTCCTGTTGCATAAAATTCTGGACTTCTGGAAGCGATGAAGTCATCGAAGGCAGTTTCTGCCTCCCCTTGGTTTCTGAAGCATCTCCCGCACAGGAAGCTCTCGAGATGCCTGAAGAAGTGATAGTTGTTGGACAAGAGGTCTGGTGAGTACAGTGGATGAGGCAGAGTTTCGTAGCCCAGCTCGTTCAACCATTGCAGAATCAAAAGTGCAACGTGGCCGCGCGTTATCGTGGAGAAGGATTGGACCCTTTCTGTTGACCAGTGCTGGGCGCAGCCGTTGAAGTTTCTGGTGCATTTCATTGATTTGCTTGACATACTTCTCCGCCGTGATCGTTTCACCCGGATTCAGGAAGCTGTGATGGATTAAACCAGCAGCAGACCACCAGACAGTCAGCATGACCTTCTTTTGGTGCAGATTCAGCTTTGGGAAGTGCTGCGGAGCTTCATCGTGGTCCAACCACTGAGCTGATTGTTGGCAGTTATCACAGAGCATCTGTCACAATACAGTCAATAAACGGGTCGTTCTGGTTGCGAAAAAGAAGCACGATGACACTTCAAAACGCCGATTTCTGTGATTCTCATTCAATTCGTGTGGCACCTCTTTGTCGAGCTTCTTTGACTTTCCAGTCTTCTTCAGATACTCAGAAACAGTTGATATGCTTACCTTGAGTTCTTTTGCAAGTCCTCGAACTGTTGTGCATGTATCTGCTTCCACCAGAGCCTTCAATTCATCATTGTCAATAGTGGAAGGACGTCCGCAACCTTCTTGATCTTCAAGGTCGAAATCGCCATGTTGAAATTTTTGGAACCAAAGTTGCACTGTCCGTTAACACTTCCCTGGCCATAGACCTCATTGATGTTTCGAGCAGTTTGCGCAGTAATGTGTCCGAGTTTGAACTCAGAGGTAGATCTGTCAAAATTGCGGTTTTGACATCTGAACTCCAAACCTCCAAAATTTGTCATAAACGCAGTTTATATTATAATTTAATTATACAGCATGAAAGTTCATAACATGAGCTCTTCAAAAATATATAACAGTGTGCCAGTCGAGAAGGTACTATTCCTGAAACTTATACAATGAAAATCACATTACAAAATGGAAATTAATTTCCAAACAGCCTATATTATGTGTGAACAATTACATAAATACCTGAGTTTAGAGTAAGTCATTCTAATGTTAGGATCATACATGACTTTGGAAGTATTAATGTTCAGAGACATGAAAAGAGAGGTAAAAAAAAAACCTTATAGACCCATCCGCGCATGAATGTTTTTTAACAGTGTTTGAATCACTCTTTCTTTAGGAAAAGATCAGAAATATTGGAGTGCCTCCTGTTCACTTGAAGTAGTCATGGAACAGTAGCAGAAAAGATCAAGGTTAGCAGGGTTTTAAGAGTATCAGTGTAGGTTTCCATGGAGAGAAAATTTCCATTTTTCACAAAGCAAAATAGGAAGCATCACATGGCCACAATTCACCTCTGTTAAATAATGCCTTGATGGAATTATTTCAGTGTGATGGTTTGAATTTGGCCAAATGCCAGGTATCCACCACGTCACTTTATCACTTACCCACCGCCCCCACCCCTTTTCCTCTTGTTTCTCAACAGGGCAAAGGGGTGAAAGAAAATAAGATAAACCAACCCTTGTGGGTAAAATAAAAAGCAGTTTTAATATACGCAAAACGAAGCAAAGGTCCGCATGCAGAAGCAAAACAAAACAGATTAATTCTCTACTTCCCATGAAGAGGCGCTTTAGGGCCTTCTCAGGCAGCAGGGCTCCAACATGTGTAGTGGTTCCTCGGAGAACCAAGGGTGACCCCACCCCCTTCCTCCTTTCTCCCAGCTTTATCCTGAGCAGACGTCATATGGTCTGGAATATCCCTCTGGTCAGTTCGGGTCAGCTGTCCTGGCTGTGTCCCCTCCCAAGATCTTGCCCACCCTGTCCCACTGGGGGAAAAAATGTCAGAAAGATCCTTGGTGCTGTGTAAGCACTGCCCAGCAGCAGCCACAACACCAGGGTGCTACCAACACCCTGCCAGCTCCCAGCATAAACCACAGCACCGTGAGGGCTGCTATAGGGGAAAACCAGTTCTGTCTCTGTTCATTCAGTAAACACCCAAAGAAACAGAATGACAAACCTCTACTCGTTGTTATATGCTGGGGATGTTTCAGGTGATCATTTTCCTGAGTAAAAGCATGTACTGTAGTTAAAATGCTCCACCCTGGCTTTGAGTTTGCCTGCCCTCACAGGAGCTGTGACTCCCCAGGCCAGCTGAGTACAGGATACTGTTGGGGTCGGAATGTTGTACCCCAACCGGCCATTGTGTGCGTACCCACCCAGCAGTGGTGGTTGTAGACACACTCTTGGGTGTCAGTATGAAACAGTGCTAGTCATCACTGTATCTACCATGGGGTTATGCTCACAACTTACATGTAGATTGGTTTCTTGCTGATGTAGATATGTCAAATGTGGTTGCGGCTGTACTGCCAGCCACGTTGCAAGGATTATGTAGGTGGGTAGGTGTCCACCTAGTGTGAGACATCACTATGAGTAATAGAATGGAACAAATAAAAGATAGTTGCAGTGGCCTTTCATGTAGTTGCTGTATTACAGACTTGTTTGAAAGGTGCAATTAAACCTGAAATACACCACATGGAGCATAATTGATTCAGCATTAAGAAAGATTAAATTATATGATTAATACATATTTCACTTCTCTATCTTCCATCAAAACCATCAATTTAGAATTAGTAACATATCACAGAAGAAATTAAATAAAAAGTCTATTGCATTTTAAGAGTATTAAATCAAGCAGTGATTATTTCAATTGATTTTTTTGTTTGGACATAATTTTTATAAGTACCTTGTATTTTTCTAAGTAGTGAAAAGTAGTAAATATTTGTATGAATAAGTGTGATTTCTGCATAAAAGGTAGATTTTAAGTTTACTAAAAATTTTTCACCTTCGGGGACTTCTAAACATAGTTTTCTTAATTGCTGACAAATTAAACAAGGAATTTAAATATGACATAAATATTAGTGTACTGGCTATTTCTTGTAGGATCCAACTTTAGGAATTACATTTTACTTATTACAAATAACATAAATAACCTCCTTAGATTTTCATTATAGTGCCATCACAGTTAGCAGGCCATTATTTTAGAATCTTATTAAACAACAGGGTTTTATCTATTTAATCTTGAAGTTTTCTGAGGGAGAACTTTGTGATATTGTCTTGATCAAGATCAAGAGCATATTGATCCTTCTCCAAAAGCTTTTATGTTAATTTTTTATGGGTTGATTGTTTGTTGTTTTTTTTTTTCCTGATTGCATATTTTTTAAAGGAAAAAAAGAAATCTGGGACACCATCATGCCACTTTTTGTACTGTTGCTATTTGACAGCTACAATAAAATAAAATTATTACTAATTGCTTCTACACATAGACTCATTAAAATTACTATCTGACCAGCAGAAGACTTGAATTTCAATTAAAACCTCTAAAGCAGAAACCACATTTCAGTTACTGATGATGCATTCTTATCAGTTACTAGAGCATTTCAGCTAACTCTTAATCAGTTGACACTTTTTGAACTTTCCTACTTATGGGAGCTATTCATGGAGTAAAGTAGGGAGGATGATACATGGAAAGAATTACTCACTTCTAATACCTGCTGTAGAAAATCCTTGCATACAAGGCAATTCCCTTTTTAAACTAGTTTATAGTTTGACTTTAGCCCACAGGCAAGATAGAATGTTCACTTCTTCAGTTGCTGTCTGTGGCTCTACTGCTGTATTTCTATTAACGTTAGAAACATGAGAAGTATAACTCACACCGTACTGGTCGTAAAGAATTCAGGTCATCAAAAAGAAAAAGTGGCAGTTTTCCACTATCATCACCATCTGCGATGGCCACTATATTGCATTATTTGAAGCAGTGCAAGCCAGCAGGGCCCAAAGTGTTCATTTGTCTCCATCCTGTTTAATTGTAACTCTGGAAGGAAAGCCAGTGTATTTTGACTCACACTGAAAGTTTAATGTGGACTGTGTAATTGCATGGCCAGACTGAAAAACTAAAATCTGTCATTCCTCTCAGCATTCAGATATTCTGTCTGACACAAATCCAATTGCTTTTCATTCATTCCTAAATAAACCATGGAACAGATGTGCTAGATTTATAGATTGCTGGAGAAGGGGATGGTGTTTGTAGACTACCTTTCTTTTGCCCTATGTTGCTGGAGTTAAGAGAAATTAGAACTTGAGTTGCTTTTTCAGCCTGAGGCATTCTGAACTCGCAGCTCCCCTTGTGTTTGAGACATGCTCTGTTTCTGTATGGAGCAGTATGGTCTCAGCTGCTCATGGCTGCATCTCTTGAGATTTTGCTAGAGGAAGGTGCCACGATAGAGGAGAAAGTGAGCGCTAGGATGGCTGCTGAATTTTAGAAAAGCAATAAGCACCACACTGAGAGGACAGAGTATCCCTTTTTCATCTACTGTATCCTATGCCTGAAG